GCTTAGATACGCTTCCTTAGCAACGGGTTGCCCTTGGCAACGGGAGGACGCGGACCTGCGGACTGGGTTCGCTCTGTGTTCCCTGCACCTATTCGTGGTCTGAAGCGCGGTCCCAGTCATGTCTGAGATTTTGTGCCAGTGGCTCAACCAAGAGTTGAAAGTGTCCCAGACCGTGAGTGAGTGACCACGGCCGGGGGCGAGCGGGAGATGGGTGGGCGGGGCGCCGAAGCCGAAGCGCAAGGCGCTGCTGGAAGGTTGAGGGAAGGCGCGAGCTGCGCAGGTGGGGCTCCTGCTGGGCGGGGCAGCGCCCGGGAGCGGGGAGCCCTGCTCTGCCCAGCCCCAGGCCGGTGCCCTGGCCAACCTGGCGCTCACCACAGTCACCACCCGACCTTCTCACAACCCCACTCTTCCGCCCCTGCGTTACTCATTATCACTGCGGGCCCAACCCTTTAGGGTTTCTGACCTACTACTGTGTGGTTCTAAGCAACAGCTGGGTTAGGAAGACTCCTTTTGCTCCTACGGAGAGAAGAGTTTACTGGACTCTGTAGTCTGGCCTTGACATTAGCCCCTTCGCATCATTAGAAAAATGGTGCCCGAGCAAACCAAGGGAAGCTTAAAGCCAGGGTTCTTGTACCAGCTACCACACTATTACGTGTGTGCTCTGGGCAAGTTACAATACATTCTCTGTGTTTCCTCCAATATAAACTAAGTCAAATAGTACTTTTCATACCTTATTGCCAAGGGAGAAAAGGGCGTGTGAAATGAGTAAATGCAGAATAAGTTAACAAAATCTAGATATTTTTATAAATCTTAAATTTATCAAATTTAGCTACTTTTGCCCACTATTAAGTTTTGTCCCAAGCTGACCTTATTCACCAACCTGATTCCATCCTAACCATAAAGTTGCCACCCAAAGTTTCTATATCTCACACCACAGAGGCAATTTTACACTCTGGCAACTTCCAAGACAGCCTAGTAATTCTAGCATAGCACTACACTCCACCTCCACCTCTCTGATTTCTTCAGTAGTTCATTTTACAGCTGGTATGCTTTGTTTTGTGGTCTTCTTTATTCATTGCCCAGCTTTCACATGCATATGAGGCAACTGAAAATACTATAGCTTGGGTCAGGTGCACCTTAGTCCTCAAAGTGATATTTTTGCTTTTTAACACTTTAAAGAGGTCTTTTGCAGCAGATTTATCCAGTGCAATACATCGTTTGATTTCCTGACT